TATTTATGGTCTTTATTTCTTGAAAAGTAGTTTTCAGTGTCATTTTGCCTGGATAAACATAAAAGAAAGATGAGAGAACCTGCTATACAGTGACCTTTATCTTAATGCAATATTACCAAAACACTGGAAAATTTAGAGTTTTCAAAAAGAGTAGAGAGAAATCCATTTTCAAAGCTTGCATCAGCAAATGTTGAAAAAAAAGCCAACCTTTATGAATAACAATATTCTTCCCATCAGGTGACACATATGGATCAATTTACATTTGAATTTGATGATCAGAAAAGATTGAAGTAGGGACATATGTTTTGCGACTGTATAGAATGAGACAACACAAATAAAACACTGGGTAGTCATTACAACCCTGGGATGAGGCGGATTCCAAGGCGAGACATAGTGAGGAGGGGTAAGAAGAAGGAGTAGAAAGTAGGCAAGTTGGAAACAGGTGCTTCATGAACAATGTATGTCTTCTTTAGGGGCCCAGGGAGCACTCTGCCTGAGCTACCCGAGTGCTTCTTTAACTAATTAAAATGAAGAGATCAACACATAAGCAGAAAGAAACTAAGGCATTTTGGAGGAACTCTAATTTCTTTATTCTATGCATTCAGTTATAATCTGACCCACGTGTCATTCACCAAAAATATACTAAATGCCTATTTCATTGTTCACATGGTGCTTGGGGTTTGGAACAGAGGAGAAAAAGGAAAGCCCTGGCTCTAGCCTCAAAAGGCTCACTGTCTAGTGGGAGACACAGGTTGTTTGACTATATATTTTGCAGTGCAAAGAAGCATTAGAGGTGGTGGAGAGCTTAGATTCTGCAGCCAGGCTGCCCAGGTTTGAATCCTGGTTCTTCCACCTTAGAGCTGTGTGATGCTGGGCAAGCTACTTGCACTTTGATGCTTCAGTTTTCTAATACAAGTATAACCCTCATTATTAGGAAATGAAATGTATTATAATACACATAAAGGTCTCAACAGTGTCTGGCTATGATTACTGTTCTTGTTATAATGGTGTGCATAGCATGCTGTGGGAACATACTGGAGAGGAGCGAGACCCAGCCCAGGATACAGTAGTAGGACAGTCAGAGAGGGCTTTCCAGTTGAGATGAGATTTAAATGGAGGTTTCAAGTAGTCAGTCTAGTAGGAGTTATGCAGGTGTGCAATGGTGAAAAACTGTGGGATAGCATGTGCAAGCACACAGGGAAGAGAAGTCTCTGAGAGTTTGAGATAACTTGGTGAGTTTGATGAGTGGAATCTAGACTATACTAGGGAATTTAGATTTTTTATCTTAAAGACTGTCCTGAATGTTTTTGCCCTTATGAATGCTGATCATCTCATTCTTTGTTTTCTTCAATAGCCCACCTCCTCAGCCGTTCATTTCTCTTCACCTATATTCAATTCTATACTTGGCTGTAAGGCAATCTTGTTTGAAAAAACATATTTAACTAGGTCATCTCTATGCATAACAACATGAATTTTACTCTGTTATTTTTTAGACTGAATCTAAATTTTTTGGCCCAGAATTCAAGTTCCTCTCTCCACTGTCCAAAACACATATACAAATTAATCCCCCTCTTACTATAATAGCATTTTAGCAAGACCCAACTTCTTGTTATTACCACTTTCCTCTTCTCTTTGCAGATTTTATTTATCCCAATCTCTGATTTTGCTAAAGCAGTTTCCTCTTTGGAATTTTAATCTCTCCAGATCAATTTTAATTATTTCTTTAAGGACAGGTTCAACTTTGACCATTTGAAGAAAAAGAAAGTTTGTTTGACCAAACCTCACACCATGTTGATAAGCTTGACACCATAATCTCTTGGTGCTAAGCTCACAATCACATACTTTACTTGAGGCAGCTTTCCCTGCCCCCTTATCTCTTCACACTGTTCATGTTTTCCTTGTGAGTAGAGAATTTGCTTTCTAGATATCTTACTTTCCAATGTAAGTACATCTACAGTATTTTGTATACTAAACAGCCCAATAAATGTTTGTTGGATGAATATATTATATGTAAAAATATCTCATAATGCAACCTCTTTAATAACATGCCAAGATCATTATGTGAATGATCCATACATCTTTAGAAGTTAGTTACTTGTCTCTTGTAAGCTGAATTGGAAGAGAATCAAGATGACAGATCATGGCTGATATTTGCATAAGTGTATTTAGTTCACATAGATAATTAGAACATTTAAAAAAGTAATTGGAATTCTTTTAATTGAATGACTTTTGAAGATGAGCTTCCATTATAAAACATAAGTGTAGACAAAGGATTTTAGAACTTAGAGTAAATCCTTGGACCTTAGAGTTTAGGAGAAGGGAAACAACCATTTATTCAGTATCTATTGTGTACCAGTCATCACAAGGCTGCTAACTTTGCATAAGTTATCTCATTAAAGTTTTCCAACATCTCTTCTCAAGAGAAGTCATTATTTTGATGGCTATTTTATAGCCAATGCCACTATGGCTCAAAAAAGTTTGACTCTTTCCAAAGTCTTACATCCAAGTGATGAATTTGGGATTTGACTCCAGGTCTCTCTGACTTTAAAGCCAAAGTTCTTTGAGAGGTTATGCAAACTTTATTGTTTGAATGGTAGTATTCAGAAATAGATTAAACAATGACAATTTTGGACAAGTAGCTAACTTTCTTGGTCTCAGTTCCTCACTCTTACAAATTTGCCCTTCATAATCTCTAAAGCTTTTATAACTCTAAATCTTTGTGAAAAACTTGCATCTGTTTTCTTTTTTTATAAATCACATTTAAAAATCTCATGGCTTAAAGAGTAAGGTGGAAAAGTTAAACATCAATGAGTTATATATTGACTATAGCAGGGATATATAGTTGAATGAAGGAATTATTAATTTTTATATATTCTCTATTGTTTGACATGGTAAGATAGGTATTACTTTTGTCATAAAATCTAATAGAGGGAAAAACTATAGCATTTTTAGTGGTGAGTTGACTAAGTTCAAATAATCAGTCAATATCTGTTCTTCTTTATTAAATATTGATTACCAAATTATATAAAACTCAAAAATTTTATTTGATGTACTTTTTTGCTTGGGCTAGGCTATCCTACAATGCCTTTTTGCATTCTACCCTAGATAAATATGCATGTTAGAGGAGATTGACATGATTCTAAAACCATGACTGGAATTAAATCATGTGTTGAGTATTTGCATTTACTTTCATTATCCTAAAAGTAAAAATAGCTAATGTCAAAATGTATCCAATATTTTAGAGACCATAAAGTCATTAATAAGTGTACTATACTTTTGACTGTTATTTGATGTCAATAATGATAATTTTACTAGACTCTCAAAGTCTCTTCTCAATATTGTGCAAGAAGGTATTATAATACATAAAAGAGAAAAGTCTAGAATAATATTTACATACAGCCAGCCATGAATTGCTCAACAACAGGGATACGTTCAGAGAAATGCATTGTTAGGTGATTTCGTCACTGTGTGAACGTCATAGAGTGTACTTCCACAAACCTAGATGGTATAGCCTACTACACACCTAGGCTATATGACCCTAATCATATAGGATTACCATTGTATATGCTGTCCATCGTTGACCAAAACGTTGTTATGCGGTGCATGACGGTATAAGAAAGTTGAATGTGATAATTGTCACTAAAATTTCTCTCATGTGCTAAGAAACCTAGTTAAAATGACTGGGTAATTTTGGGTAAATTAGAACTGGTTTGAACCCAGAACGTGGTATTGGCTGAATGCAATGAAATGCTAATCACAGAATACTCTGGTCGTTATCAGTTAAAATCTTTTTTTCCACATATTGACTTCATCCACCATGTGACTCTTGTGGCCAAGGAAGTCGGGTCAGTGCTAATAACCAAACATTCTTCTCTCAAACATAAACAGTCACACTGAAAACTAGCTGTATCTCCTTTTGCCTATAAGGTTCTGAGCACCTTATCACAGAACTTAGATGAAATGAAAACCTTTTATATCAAGTCATCAGTATGACAGATACTCCAAGGAACAAACTGCCATTACATTTAAGGAGGACATTTTGACATATTAATTTATACCCTCAGGGTTCAGATCTGGCTTGTAGGAAACCCTAATTAAAACTAGCCATTGGAGAAAAGAGACTCCAAGAAGAGATAAAAATGAACTCCAAGTTACTTGAAAATATGACACAAGCATAAGAGAAAGACTAAGAAATACCATAGAGGCTGAAAAAATTACAGTCTTTTTTTTGCTACCTTTTACAATGGACTATGATAAAAATTCAGTTCTCTCTTGGGTCTTGTAAGTAAAAAAGGCTAACCAGCAAAGGAGAGAATGGGGACCATGTTTTACAACAAGTAGTCCAATGCATATTCTTAATATAAAGACCACAACTCAGAAGTATGTCTCTGTAGAACTTACATTTCCATTTCTACAGCTAAAAAGGTGATTTTAGACTATAGTTAAATGACTCTAAATACTCTCTTGGGTCTTGTAGGTAAAAAAGGCTAACCAGCAAAGGAGAGAATGGGGACCGTGCTTTACAACAAGTAGGTCCAATGCATATTCTTAATATAAAGACCACAACTCAGAAGTATGTCTCTGTAGAACTTACACTTCCATTTCTACAGCCTAAAAAGGTGATTTTAGACTATAGTTAAATGACTCTAAATACAGGCTAATAAGCCACCAAAAAAAATCTCAAAATTTAAACAGTAACTTAATAGACGCATAGCCTCAAACAAAATTGTCTCCCTCAGAAAACGTATTTTGTAATAACACAGAAGAAATGTTTAAGGGCAAAAACTAAAAGATTTTAAGCATGCCCTAAATACTTCTAAAGTAATTGTTATCATGAAACCCTACAGATATTGATCAAAAAACCAATTGTATATTTGTTGACCACAGTGGTACTTATGCTAACTGGAATCATATTGTTGTAAATTAAAGGGAAATTTAAAAGTCTGTTTTTCTAACATTTAATTTTTCTAACATTAATTTTCTAAATATGTGGTGTGAAAAGTTACTATTCAATAAATACAAAGGGTAACTCATACCTTGAATTCCTCCAAGATTTTGTAATTCTTCCCATGATATTCACAAAAGTTTTTCACTTCTTTGCACTCAGGACAGCATCCATTGTGTTCCACTTTAGTACACTTTGGGTGAATTTTAGGACATTCTGGCTGGTCGCAAACAGGTCCATCCAGAGCACAGACACATGGACAGTTGGAATGTCCTGGGAAAAATCGTTCTCCCAACTTGTATACAAAGCCGCTGTCATCCACACACCCTTTCCCTCGATAGTCATCAAAAATCAGATTGTCATTACTGGAGATCTGGTCACCTTCATCAGCAGGGTAGTCTTCATGACTGATGGCAGCAGAGGTAACCAATCCAGGGATGACCAACAGAAGTATGCAAGCTTCATGAATATGAAGAGCCATCCCCCTCCTCAAAGGCTTCTGGATGTGCTCCTAATAGTAAATACACTCAGCTCCTTCCATGGGAATACAAAAGGGGTAGGCTGAAAATAAATATTTAAAAAGAATAAGTTTGTATATACAAAGAGAATATAGATTCACTTAAGCTCACGTTCTTAACTTGCTTATTTGGAGTCTATTTGGAAGATACTAAGACCTCAAATAGACTAAGTTCATGCAACTATCTACACTTTATAATGCAGTTTGGAGAGTTTATCCTTGGTAATATATGCTTTAAAATTTATCCTTTCTGGATTATTTCACCTAGGATCCTTCAGCTTGATTTTCTCTTCTAAATTTCAAAGGTCTGGCTTTGTCTAACTTGTAAGAACTAGTTTTACTGGGCCTCAAAAGGTGATTTTACAAGTAGTTACTTACAAATAACTCAAGAACATTTGAATTCATATTCCCTATTATTCTTTAAGCTGGACCAGTCAGTGATGGAATGTATATATATTACAATCATCTGTATAAAAACGCAAGAGATTAGTGAGCAAAAAATTCTACTTCTAAAAGAAAGAGAAGAAATCAACAATTGAATGTAAATTATAATTGGGATGGAGCTAGTATAAAGGATCTTTATGCCCATAATTGGTGAATAACAATAGTCTCAATATGGGTTACTTGTTTCAGTGAACATGAATCTGAATTTTGAAACACAGCTAAGAAAAAAATAGCACTATTTATAAAAACTATTTATAAACACTATTCCACAGTGAATAAGAGAAAGAAAAATTTTAAGTAATAAATACAAGAGAACATGTATTGCAAAGGATTTATTAAAAATAAGTTTATTTGCACTATTGTCCTCACCTTTATTTTACTCAGGAAGTAAGCTCCTAGTGGGCAGGAAAGAAGTATCTGTGAACTTTTTTTGTTTTTTACAGCAACTTGAATCTAGTACTCATGTAATACTATTTGAATTAATTGCTTCAACATAAAATAAATACCATTCACACAGTCTTGAAAAGTTAACTCTTTTGTGCCATACCAAAGATATTTGCATTTAGCCAATTTGCACAAAAAATACCTGTTTAAATCATTTATTGAAGTTTCTTAAAATAGTAATGAGGTGTTGCCAATCATAGAAAATATGTCTATTAATCTGATGGCATTGACTCATAAACTTCACTTGGTATTAGTGCTTGGTGTGGAGTGTTGGTAGTGGGCTCTTGTTTAAATGTTTAGAGTGACTAACTCATACAAAGGCTCTGGGGAAACTGTGTGACTTTATGGAGTAATAGATAAGGAAAAGTGTTGTCAAATAGTTAATTTACCTATTTAAGTGCTATTGGCTTTATGCCTTTATCCATAATATTGCTTATAGGACATCTTCAGATCATTTATAAATATTATTCATTGGTTTATTTTCAGATTATAGTAAAAGCAATGATAAACTGTTTCTTTTCAGTCTAACACATACACATGATAATCTTTAAAAAGATAAAGATGCCATTAGGAAACTTCATGAACTATTATATTGTATTTGCATTTTAAGTTAGATATGCAAATCCAGTAAGAGTAAAATGGAAGGTAGTATATTCATGCCCTCCTTCAAGAGAAAACTGCTCTGTGATATTAGAATTCCTTTTGGGTACATAATGATAAAGGAGATGGGTTTCCTTTAAAATATGTCAAAAATAATGAGTCATGATAGAATTAAAAAATGCAAACCTATAATTCTGCCTGAGAAGCCAGAAGCTTCCTTTGGCAAAGCATTTTTTTCTCTTAAATTACTAGAGAGGCCACAAACAGAAGCTTCTGAAAAAGCATAAAAAATTTTACTAATTAAGGCACGAATTTGTACATCTCTCACATATTTAGAAAGTTTATCTTGGAAGAAAAAGGAGCTATGGTGCTTCCTTATAGTATTCCAGTCGTATCTGTCAATACATGCAGGATAAGCCATATAGAATACATATGTCATTCTGCTTCAAAAGGACACAGACACAAAATGATCTCTTTGCAAGCTACAGGTAGGCATTAATGAGTCAGGTTATGGTAATCGTTAACTTAAAGGTAAAAATAAGAGTGTAATATCCACTTTATATAAACATTAAACATGCTTTTATTATATGAAATACCTTTTAAAATGTGCATGGAGAAAACAAGGTTTTCTTGTTAATACAACAAAGTTCTTAGGCAATTAAAAAAAATACCTCTTCATGTTGAGCTGCTCTAGTGCAGTTTAAGACAGTATTTATTTAAGAGAAGAAACATTAGAGAAATGAAATAAAATAAAATGTTTATCTGAAGGTTTTTAATAAGTAAGCAAACATTGCTAAACTGAGAATCACTTCCCAGCTAAAGTTCCCCCTCCCCATATTGGTACATATGATTTAAAATGACTGCATCTATTTCTTTGAGAAAACAAATATAACTCATGTCATAAGATACACTTACCTAATCACTCTGGAGGTTAACGGTGGTGGTGGGGGTCATAGACCAATATGAACTAAAAGATCAGGTATGTTTTAAGGAAACAGTTCCTCTTTAACTATCCAAAGAATACATTTTCAGGCTTGAATTAAAGACAATCCATTCTTTCTACCTCCCATTTCAAAACACAGTCAAGAAGCAGTCTCCCGCCCTTCCAGAGAGAAACACAGCAGACACACATAAGAAATATGCTTTGGACCCGTCTTCAGAATTCAAAGCAAGCAGCAATGCTGGTTCTGTAGAAATCCAGATCCCAGTAGCAGAATCATGTTGAACTTATTTTTAGCATTTTCCCAGATCCTTCTATGAAATTTCCCGGCTGATTACGCCTCCTCCACACATGAGTTCACTTACACAGTATTTGCTACGGCAGTAGAGGTGATTTGGCTAGGCTCTGAGGATCACAAACAGCAACAGCATGCTGTAGCTTAAACCCCGCTCCGCCAGCAATACCATCAGCATCATCCACAATGTGTTGCTTGAATCCCCTCTCACACACCAGAAAATACTAACTGTGGACGTGAAGGAAAGGAGCAACTTTAGCTGGGTTTCTGCATCGCTGAGAGCAGTTCGCAGACTGCTGATTTGGAGCTCATTCTGCTGGCAGCCGGGAATTCCTCAGCACCACGGACAGCGCCAACAGCTGGCTTCTGAGCCCAGTTCGGTCGAAACCCTGAGCTGCTTCTTTGGAACAGGCTAGAGTATTCTCTTAAGCAGTTGCGCTTTATACAGAGGCTGCGTGCATTAGGGGGAAAGGCGTTTTACGTCCGAGATACTTCTTAGCATTGAAATTACAATTAAAAAAATAAAAAACATTGTAATTGTACCTAATGCATTCTTGGATGGGCTGCAGATAATGAAAGTTCCGGAAGAGCCTTGCATTGAGGTTTAAGCCATCTGCAGTCTCTGATTATTAATAGATAAAGCATGATCATTGTCGAAGAATCAGTGAAAATGTATGTTCCCTGATTTTATTTGACCCCTTGGTTGCAAAAAGACTTTCCCCGTGCTACGTGATTAAACTTTGGATCTTTCTGCAGCTTGGATTTGATTTTTTAAAAAAGTAGCCCAGCTCTCCTGCAGTTTGTTCTCTAACATCCAAATCAATCTCCTGTAATTCATCTAGTCTGTCATTAGGCGTCATTGTAAGCTGTTTCTTCTAAATCCCTAGCAAAGATGCTCTGTCTCTAAATTCTTACCAAAATGAGAAAGAAAAAAGACCCAGACACAAATGAATGAGCAAAAAGTTATTATTTTTATTGGTAACAGTACGAGCACTAAAATATATGTCCAACGCATGTTTTAAAGCAAATTGTAAATGTTACCTTCTGGCATATTTAACCAGATATTTACTTGTTTGGGACTATACGAGGCATTTCAAGCCTTAAAGGGAATGCCGTCTGCAGTGGGTATGCTGACCGTCAAGACCACGTTCGAACAGTGCCATCGGAGCCTCCGGAAAATAGACTCTCTCCATCCTGAGAAAACACGACTGTGTGAGCCTCACTCTCGTGGCCCATCAATTTGTGAATCTGCCCTGATTTAAGATCCAGCAAGTGGATAACTCCATTGCCACTCGCCTGAGCTAAAACTCGACCTGAGAGAGAGAAAGAGAGAGTGTTAAAGTTTTATTTCAAGCAGTCACAGTCTATGAGCAATGAAATATACACTTTGTTACCATTGTAATTCAATAAACTTGTTTTATATTAGATGTCAATCATTAAATATGAATTAACTCCTGTCTATATAGGAAATAATTCCAGTCTGAATTAAGACATGTCAACGATTAGATTATAAAATTTTAAAATAACAAGGTAAAACCTAATGTTTTACCTACTTTATGTGTAAAGGTCATCAAATGCCCTACTAGTCTCCTTATGTTTGGGATTAATAAACAATTTTGATAGGATGAGATTGAGAGGAACTGAGTAATACAGTTTTCCTTTTCAAGTGAATTATATGTGAAAAAGTGTTAAAAAGTGTAGACTTTAAAATTTATCTATGGCAAAGATGTATATATATATATATATACACACATGGATAATTTATATTTTAACATTTGTATTATATTTTAAACTTGTTTATTATAATTATGATACATCTTTAATTAAAACTATAATAATACACGTTTATGCTTTAAAAATTGTGACACTGATGAACTCAACAAATTTTTTTAGAGTTGAAGTGAAAATACCTCATTTAGGTTTTTTACTCTAATTTAAAATTCAAAATTCTGTTCAACTAAATTTGTGTTACATAAGAGAGCTAAATACAGCATAGAGTATTCTCATAATTTTTATAGCATACATATTTTTTGAAGTATTTTTTTTTGAGGTGGATTAGCCCTGAGCTAACATCTGCTGCCAATCCTCCTCTTTTTGCTGAGGAAGACTGGCCCTGAGCTAACATCCATGCCCATCTTCCTCTACTTTATATGTGGGATGCCTATCACTGCATGGCTTGCCAAGCAGTGCCGTCTGCACCTGGGATCAGAACCTGCAAACCACAGGCTGCTGAAGCAGAACGTGCGCACTTAACCACTGAGCCACCAGGCCGGCCCCTATAGCATATACTTTTGAATAGTCTCCTTAAAGTGAAAAGCAAATCAGCAGTCCAATTCTAACTAATACTTTCATTAAAGATGTCCAGTAGCAAACTATCAGGGAATTTGGAGGTAAGTAAAAGCAATAGAATATACTTACATTTGCTCAATAAATGGGGTAAATAAGTATAAGATTAGTATTATCCATGGAATTATCTAACCATACTTAGAAAGCATACTATCATCCCAGTAATAACATTTAAAATTCATTAAACTCTTTCAGCATGCTAGATACTAGATTTACTACCTGATGGGGATAATTCTATGTAATCCTTACAGTAATCCAATGATAAAGAAAATATTAACTCCATCACATAGGTGAAGAAAGAGAGGCTTGGAAAAGCTAAGTAACTAGCTTAGGAGGACACCCTAGGTATAGAGAGAGCTGGCTTTTAATCATAAGCACTTTGAATCCAGAGCCTGGGCTCTTAGTCATTGCATTTTCACATCCAGCACAGCACTGTTATTAATGATGCCTTCTTGACAGATTTTAAGTAGGTGATATGTTGTGAAAATAGAATTTGCCCGTTTCATAATAAAAAGTTTATAGTGATATCACCATAAAAGTCACAGTGAAATATTTAACCACAAATTATACCCCAAATTGTCATGAATGTCTTTAAAACAGAGAAAAGTTATAAAAGTAAAGCTAAACATGATAAATACAGCCTATTTGCAAACGTTTATAACTACTGGGCTTCTTCATCTAGAACAAAGCCTGACACAGCAAAGATCCTTAGGATGGATTAGAGTGTCCAAAGCAGCAGATGCGAATATTTATTATAAACCCTCTTCTAAGTCTTTGCTGACAGAGGCATTACATATAGATTTCACTTCCAGCTTCGCTCTATAGGCAATTGCTGTTTGTGACTTTCCTAAGAATCACACTGATAACTCTTTTCTACTAGTCTTTATACAACAGCTAGGAAGGGGGTAAATATTATTTTCTATTTTTGAAACCAAACTGAACAAAACAGAATCAAAGCCCATAAAGAAAATGGAAAGGTTTTAACTTTAAACCATTATCTTTTTTTGACGTAAGATCTGTAAAATTCATAATTGGAAATATTTAGGAAGGTTCTTCATAATTTCTGAAAATTTGTTGAATAAAATAGAGAAAATGATAATATTAGAGCTTTATGTTAGGATTATATAATTCAGCAGCACCATGCCTCAAGTATTTCAAAAATTTGTCTTTACTAGAACAGATTTGAGTCAACAAGTTTGTGGTGAGGTTTTTCAGGTTTACTTGAGCACATTTTCAGAAGATTGCAAGACTACATATAATATCTAATTCCTAAAAGGTGTATAAATTTAGGATCATGTTAAACTTTAAAGCATATTGGATTATTACAAGGCATATAGCATCTGATCTAAAAATTAGTTTTGCTAGGAATAGAGATGCTGAACTCCTTTTAGGTTAGAAGATTTTCAAAATTACTTACCAGATGTGTCAATTGCTACATGAGTATCTAGTTGGTGTGAGAGAGAGGTATCACCCAGAAAAAAATGCCACAATATGATTATTGGTGGCATCTCTAGAAAGTAGAGTATTTACAGACACGCGCATGGACATCTTTCTAAATAGCTTGGTGATTGGCAATGAAAAATAACCCACAATGTGAATCATTTGTTATCCCAGTGTCAGAATCTTAATGACAAATTTAGGAAGAATAGAAAAGTTATCCACATCAAAACTTGGTCAAGGAGGGGCCAGCCTGGTAGCCGAGTGGTTAAAGTTCCGTGTTCTCTGCTTCGGTGGCCCAGGGTTTGAGGGTTCGGATCCCACGTGTGGACCTACTCCACCCACCGGCCATGCTGTGGAGGCAGACTATGTACAAAGTAGGGGAAGGTTGGCACAGATGTTAGCTCAGGGCTAATCTTCCTCAAGCAAAAAAAAAAAAAGAGGAGGATTTTCAATAGGTGTTAGCTCAGGGTGAATCTTTCTCACAAAATCAAAAAATAAACAAAAAAACTTTGGTCAATGGGATGAAATTGTGTTAGAAATAAAATTTAAATAGTACCACGAGAATTTTTGTAAAACTTGCACTAATAATGTTCATGTTAAAATAAATATGCCTCTTTAAAATGTGAAATAAAAATAAATGATAAATTATACTTCTACTTTAATATTTTATTAAAATTTTATAAAAACAAAAAAATCAAAATAATTATCTTGTAACATATAATAGCCTGAATGGATTAAAATGTTATTTAGCATAGCATTTTAAGAAGAATAATTATATCAAATTATGAATACACACATTCCACAGATAACTCATAGGTTGAAAGTATATGATTAAAAAACAGAGAAGTATAGTTTATCAACATTGATCTAAAAATAAAAATAGCCAAATTGATTCATAAAGGTATTTTAAAATAAAATATAAATAATTATTTGAACATTATGTAAAAATGACTTTCTTCTTTTCTTTTGCTAACATTTAAGTTATTAGGATGCCCGAACTCTTCACAGAATGGGAAGAAAATAAGCGGTCTGGGGAGAAGATTGATATAATTTTGTAAGTGCTTTTCTTTGGTACAAAGAGCTCGGTATCAACAGCGAGTGATTATGACTATCTCTTCATTCACACATCTCTGAAAAACTTAATCAATACTTATTTTGATCTACCAAGGCTTCAGAATATTTTCTTGTTGTTAAACTGGTGTCTTTTTTATTGACCAATGGAGTTTGAATGAGGATAACATGGGTTGCTATCCATTTTACTCTATTGGATGAATTTGCCAACTTCTTTTGGCTTAGAAGACAAGCACCAAATTTTGCCTACCCACAAAGTATTGCTCTGCTATTAAATGAGCCAATCAACCTTTAAAAATTAGTAATTCTCTCAAATTTTAGTTCTAAATACACTTACAACTTACTGAAGATGATATGATTTCCTTATACTTTGCTTTAAAAAGCAATTTTCTTAAAAAAATAGGTCTAATAATGTCTTCAGCAAAGTAGTCTCGATCAGATTTGGTATAAAAACTTGAATATTTGAATGTACTTACTAATTTAAGCATCATTAGCAACGGAATCTCTTAAAGAAGTTTACAGAATGAATTAGCCCATGGAAATCAAGTAGTAAAATTTTATCTGAGTGTATGTAATCACTTTGGAAAAACCACTATAAACTGGAAACTCAATCTCATGATAATAAAATGTGCAAATAAAATATTGGCACTTTTTCAAACTAAATAATTTTTAACCAATTTGAGATACAAATTCAATTTGATTTTGAGAGTATGCACCTGGCTGGAATAGCCAAGAGTAATCTTGATCTTTTCAACACTTACCTGCCTCCTAACCTAGATAAATTCTTCTTAAGATTAAGAATTCTGCATGTTGCCTATTATTGCCATGTTTTTCACACTAATCATGAAACTTGACATAATCAGTGCTTAATACATACTTGTTGTAGCAGGAGGTGTGGTGTGATATAAATACAAGTGCAAAGACCCTTATGAAAGGATATGAGCCCATTTCTTTGTCTTTCAGATCTACCGGAATGAGTTCATAGTAGTCATCATTTACTGTCATTTATTGAGCATCTATAGCTCCACATGGTACCTGTTACCTCACATGTTCTGCATACAACCCTATGAGGTAGATATTTGCCCTTTTTAGCTGATGAAGAATGAGAGTCAGAGAAGATAAAACTGGGATTTGAATTGAAATCATTTTATTTTTTAACGATAGTCACCTGAGCTAACATCTGTTGCCAATCTTCTTTTTCTTTTCTTCTTCTTCTTCTCCCCAAAGCCCCCCCGCCCCCGCAGTACATAGTTGTATATTCTAGTTGTAGGTCCTTCTGGCTGTGCTATGTGGGATGCCCCCTCAGCATGGCCTGACAAGCGATGCAGTGTCCCCGCCCGGGGTCTGAACCGATAAAACCCTGGGCCGCTGAAGCGAAGCGCACGAACTTAACCACTTGGCAACAGGACCGACCCCTGGATTGAAATCTTTATTATTCAAAAAGTCTTACTTCATT